AAACTCTTACTTAATGAAATATGTAAATGAAATTAAGCAGAGCAATCAGTACAAACTCTTAGTGATATACATTTGAAAAGAACATTACATTCAGGCTTGTAGTATTTATTAAGACAAAAAAGAATCAGACAACACTGAAATTATTTTTTTTAAACTATTATATATTTATAGACAGAGTGAAGCACCTAATTTGATCACTTCGAAAAACTTGTTTAAAAATTGTGTAAAAATTATACATTATACGAAAAATTATTTTATATAAAAGGTGCATAATTTCGAGAGAATCATTATATAATGTATAAATTTTTTTTATAAGTGAAGGTACTCTGAAGTCTCAAGGTCAACTTTGCTTTTTTAAATGGAATCATATATTTTTTTATTTGACATGATTTCTTTAATACAAATGTCAATAGAATAAAAAAGTCAAAAAAATCAATAGTTAAGAGTTAAGAGATAAAAGTCAATAGTTAAGAGATATTTTATATTTTAATCTTATATTTTGATATAAAATATAGAACATTTCAAATTCATTTTTTTCTATTCATTTTTTTATGACTGTACTTAATACATTGATGCATGGAATAATCAATTGGTATAAGGAAGATACATAGTTACTTTAAAAAAAATTATGCAATAAGCAAAATGCAAGTACAAACTTTTTTTATACAAACAAACTACAACGCGAGACATTTGCTCGGCAAGCAGGATCTTGGTTGCTAAAGTCTTTATAATATGAAAATAAATTCAATTAATTTTTATATTACCAACGACGTGCCGCTTTTTTAGCAGACTTTCAACATAGTGGTTCTATAATAATTCGATGATCAATATTATTGATATCGATTAAACTCCCTTTTATTATCCCTCCCATCAGAAATATATATTGCGAAAAATATCATCTCAGCCAGGGATCGAACCTGGATCGCCCGCTTTCCGGGCAAGCATCTTATCCACTAGACCACTGAGTGGTATATGGTAATATTTATCGCAATATTCAGAGATTTTAATCGATATCAATAATATTGATCATCGAATTATTATAGAATCACTATGTTGAAAGCTGCTAAAAAAGCGGCACATAGTTGGTAATATAAAAATTAATTGAATTTATTTTCATATTATAAAGACTTTAGCAATGAAGATCCTGCTTGCCGAGTATGCCATGTCTTGCGTTGTAGTTTGTTAACATGTACTTGGCTTATACCTATGTATGTTTTTTTTATACGGTTGCATGCTTTCTTTACACAATCGATTTGTCTCAATATTCTATGCAAGTATACAGGTATCAAAAAATACAGTTATCAAAAAGTGTATAGTTCATGAGATAGTTTACATTCTGTGTAAGACTATGTGAAACTAAATATATCTCATAAATTAATTTTTCACGAGACACATTGTATATTACTGTTGAAATGCCATTATAAATTCAAAAGCAATGTATTTCAATTCTAATTGTCCACCCGTTCGCGATAAGTGAATAAGGTTCCGTATCGGTGTTACCGTTTTTGGGCATAAGTTACGTTCACCAGTCACGTGGAGCCCGATGTCCAGACTCTATTTCTTTCTAAAGATTTTACTTGGACTCAATAACTAGTGCCTCTCAGGCGACAGAAATTGCAATCGTACAAAGGCGACAACTATGACAACGTTTCTTAAAGTAAAAATTCCAAATCGGATTTTGCGTCGCAATATCTCCACTCATAAGGCATGGGAGAAAAATAAAAACACTTTAATTATGCAAATCAAAATCAAGTTATCGATCGAGTCTGTTTAGAATTTGATCGATTCAGATATTATTGAGATCCGATAATTTCAGGTGATCGCATCTCGCCGGCTCGCGTAAAATCACACAGTAATGTTTCGGTTGTACAGACATATTGATATAGACTTGACACCCGTGTCTCCTGATATCGCTAATCAATATTATTATTTTATCCACCATAATGAAGCAGAGACGAAAACGTCGTCGCGAGAGCATATTTTTTGTATCTTCTCTCTCTCTCTC